AATACATCTTAATGACACATGTGGATTGTCCGTCCTCCACCTCCTCCCCCTCCTCCTCCTCCTCCTCCTCCTCCTCCTCCTCCTCCTCCTCCTCCTCCTGGTGTCGTTCGTGTCTTTTTAGGTCCCTGGTGTCAATCTGCCCACGAATCAGCTCGCCTACTTCTTCATCGCCCTGCTGCTCAGTGGAGTCATACATGAGCTGGGCCACGCTGTGGCAGCACTGAGGTAACGGACTCCGTGTCCCAAGATCTATGAACAGTTACCGTGGCAACCAGCAGGATTGTCCATCCTTCAGTGGCTGTTGATATTAGTTTTGTGTGCGCTGCAGTGGGTACCGTAGAAATACTGCGTATACTGGTTACAGGCACACCTCAGATTCATTCCTATTTAAATAAAGATATTTTTCTGTCCCTCATATCAGTGATATCTGTGTTTATCTGTAATCCTTTGACCCGGACCTTCATCTTTAAACCTGTGATGAGTTGTTTGTTCAATGTCGTGTCCGTCTCACTTCCCCCTCAGGGAACAAGTGCGAGTGAACGGCTTCGGCATGTTTGTGTTCGTGCTGTATCCCGGTGCCTTCGTGGACCTCTTCACCACTCACCTCAACCTCATATCGCCCACGCAGCAGCTTCGCATCTTCTGCGCCGGTAAGATTTTTATACATTCATTCAGAGATCAGCTGATCACTTCCTCAGGGCAGAGTCGGTAATCCTGATTATTTTTTCCAAATAATGTGATTAATCACAATTATTCAGGGGTTACTTTAAATGCTCGTTTCAGTCGTTCCAGTGAAGGTCACCCTGAGGTCTTTTATTCCTGAACGCCAGACACGAGCTTCACATCAAATTATGTCACGCTGCAATCAAGAAAATTATATTTTAATGAACTGACTGGTGGAGCTGGCACTTAACTCACGCATGGGAGCAGCTGATGCCACTGCAGGTGATCAGCGGGAGCCGGTTAATGGCTGATTATTTTCAATGCCGTGTGGTTGACAAATATAAGAGGTTTTTAAATTTCAAGGGAGGTTTAAAACAGCAGGAAAAAAAATACTTATAATATATGAAATAGGGCAAAAACAGGACCTGCAGGTCTGAAAGTCTTTAAAAGCTCAGTTCCTTCAGGAAGGAATGGGTCATAAAGAGCTCTTCAATTTAATTTGCATTAGTGTAATATTCTCTTCTGCCTTGTTTTTCGGTCACACACATGTATTGTGTTTTAGGATCATTATTACTGAAGCGGTAATATCGCAGGTAGGCTTAGACCGAGGTTTGAAACGAGAGAATTATTATTTTTAAAAATGAGACCTACATTACTATTATATTAGACTAATATTACGATTTATTATATTTTAGAGATTTGTCACATGTTTTTAAATAAACAATTTTATACTGCAAATTAATTTAATGAATTAATTAGTGTTCGTATTTGTAAAGGGAGCGATACAAATATTGTTTTTCTTTTTACTCCCGAGCTTTAATCCTAAATCTGTATGTGTACGTTGCAAATTAAGGATTAAACTTTAAACTTATAAAACATGATGCAAAGTTATAGATGAAATTACCTGTCACTGAATAAAACAGTTTGAGCTCTCTGCTTATTTTTAAAGTGAGTTTTAAATGCAGGACTTTAAAGTTTAAAGAGAGTTTAAAGTTATATATTTTTTTGCCGTCCTAAACCTTTAGAGGGCAGCGAGGAGCTACTTCAAAACCCCCTCTGTGTCGTGGAGTGGACAAAGTTTGCTTCAGTCTTTTGTTTAATGTGAGAAGAAAAATAAGTTGGGTGGTGACACGAAGCCGAGACGTTCTGTCAGGTCATATGACAAACTGCAGAGGTGGTGACATAACATCACGCTGTGTTTATTTCTCTCTCTCTCTCTCTCTCTCTCTCTCTCTCTCTCTTTCTCTCTCTCTCTCTCTCCACAGTGGTGATCGCTCTGTTTGCAGGCGAGGGGGGGGGGTGCTCTCACATAACATGTTTATTATAAGATTTGTGATGCAACGCCAATCGTTTGTTTACTGCAAAGACAATATCAGAAGTATTTTTTCTTGTAGGCCTTAAAATAAAACGATTAAATCCCTTAAATCATTGTGGGATTTCAGTGTCCGACCTGAAACTCTCTAAATATCCTCCTGTCTTCAGCCATTCATTTAGTTTCCGTTGCACGGTGCAGCCGTCATCCTGCTTGTTTACTGAATTTGTACCAAACTCTGTGTTTCATCCCTTAAAAACTGTGATTTGACCTGATGAGGCAATGAGACGCTTCCTCGTGTGGTTTCGGGGACGACTGTCTGTGTCTCAGGATGGCAGAGACGTATAGACGGTTAATTTTAGCGCACGGCGGTTAGTGTCAACAACATCTCGCAGTGCGAACATGTGGAGAACAGTTGTAAACAGGCAGATCCTCGTTGTGACTTCACAGTAGCTTCAGTTTAACTGGGTTTTCCTGTTTGTTGTGGTAATTTAACCACGTTCATGAACTTTACGACATTTTCTAAAAGAATGTAGAGTTGTGAATCGAGCTGCATCGATGTTTTATCCAGGAATTATTGATTTGACTTATTAATAACGAGGACAAGTGTAATAAAAATGTTGACTTTAAAATGTCATAATAACTATAAATGTATTAAATCAAAGCGGTTTTTTTGTGTTTTTTCTCGACAGGAGTCTGGCACAACTTTGTTCTGTGCGTGGCAGCCTTGGCCTTTCTCTTCCTGTTGCCTATCTTTCTATTTCCCATGTACTCCACCGGAGGCGGAGCGCTGGTTATCGACGTCGTGCAGGTCAGTGCGACAAATTTACACGTGGACTCTTTCAGCAGCGATCAAGATTTTCTGTCCTCTATTTCTCGGCATAATGACCGTGAATAAAGATGGACGTCCTTATTTCGAACCAGGGCTCAGCGGCAGACGGTCCTCGGGGTCTGTCGGTCGGAGACATCGTGAAGGGGCTGGAGGACTGTCCCGTCAGGGGGGTGGAGGCCTGGAGCAGCTGCCTGTCTCGCCTCTCTCACACTCCACAGACCGGATACTGTGTCCCTGTCGCCAGCCTGCAGCCCAGCTGGGCTCATGGAAGAGGTGCGTGTACAGCGAGGGCCCCGTCAAAATAAAAGAATGACATATTTTAAAGAAATAGTGATGGAATTAGACTTAGTAGCTTCCAAAATAATTCTTGATGTATTCATTGTTTGAATCCAGTTGTCTATGATTCGTAATTCTAAATTGAAAAATAGTTTATAAAAACAAAGCTCATTAATTAAAACCTCAGTCAAGAGTCTTATTATTTCAGTGTCAGACTCCAGACGACATCATTTAGGAATAAATGACAGAAACGTTCATTATCAAATTACGATAACTTCATGAAAGAGCAGCAGCGATTCGTTTATTGGTCATTTGTCAGAACATTAATCAGCAGCTGATGGATAATTCATTGTTTCAGGTGTTTTTCCACAAATATCAAATGTTTTCTGCTTCCAGCTTCTTAAACGTGAGGAAGTTGTGAGGATTTTCTTAAATAGAGATTATAAATAGAAATGTGTCTTTATATATTTAATAAAAGAAAAAATGGGTGTATTTAAATACACACACACGCCCCTCCCTCCCTCCCTCCCTCCCTCTGACTGAGGTCATTATGTAATCATGCAATCACTTAACAATGCTTCTAGTTTTTATCTGCTGCTGCTGCTGATGAATTATTATTCATTAGCTCAGGTCACCACTGAATAATACCTTGTTTTTATGTGTGTGTATATTTCCTTTTCCATTTTTCCATTTGTTGGTATGTTTAGTATTTACCTGTGTGTAATAATAATACATGTAGGTAATACCTACAGTCTGTCTGTTATCCCATTCAATGTTTTTAATGAATCTGGCGGATTCAGGATTTAGTTTTTCCTCCTGCTGTAACGTGCCGCGCGTCACTGTAATTTGATTGTATTGATTCAGTACAGTGACAAACAATCAAGTCAGTGCACAGCTGGAGGTCGTGCTGACATATGAGGTTGTGTGGTTACGTGTGTGACTCTCTGTTCTTATCAAATCTTCTACTGCGATTAAATTTAACAACGGAGTGAAAAAAACATCACTGATGTTCAGAGAAAGTTGATTTTCAGTTCATTCATTCATTCTTTTCCTTGTTTCCTCTCTTTGAAGCTTTCAAGCGTCTGGATGGAACGATGGACTGCTGCAGCAACAACAGCCTCACAGATCTCTGCTTCTCCTACATGAAGCCACAGGGTCGAGGCAGCCGAGAGAAGGAGGTGACACACACTCACACACAGACACAGACGGGGGGGATTTTATGACTCGTTTATAATGTGCAAAAGTTTCCAAACCAATTCTAAATGTTGCCAAACCAAAATCACTAACTTCCTTATTCCCATTTTGGCTGCTTTGAGTACAACTGCATGACGTTTGTTGCACAATATATCATTCAAGCTGCACTTTAGCAATATGATGTGAAAAGATTAAAATATAAAATCATAAAACAACAAAAAGGTCCAACACTCGTTTGGTTTCCTTTGCTCATGGTCTCAGTTCCTGCGTCCTGGCTGCACGACATCACACATCATTCAGTATTTGCGTTTCTTTTGTAATCCTGTGAAGTTCGCCTGCATGCCGGTGCGTAAGATGGTGACGGGGACGCGAGTCTGTCGCAACGACGAAGACTGCGCCGCACACGCTCCCAGCGCCAGCGTCTGCGTCACCCCGTCTCTGGAGAACCAGACCCGCTTCATCCGTGTGACACACCCTCCGAACACGCACATGCTGTTTGTGGGCTATCCGCCGCACCTCCAGTACGCAGGTATGTGTAGTACGAGTGTGCGCGTAGTGATAGATTTTATTTCTCATCTTTATTTCACAGTTTTTCCCCTTTTTTACAAATGTGGGACCTTGTGTCTGTAATTTTCATGTAATTGCTGTTTACAGTTGAGGTGTTGAGCTGATTTTCAGTTTTCAGTGAAATATAGTGAGTGAACATTTTTATCTTTCCTCAGTGAGTCTGACCAACTTCATCCCCCGCTTTGGTTTCCTTCATCTGGATCTGCCCGTCTTCTTGGAAACGTTCTGCAAGTATCCTTCCATGTTCCAAAGACGCTCCAGGGGAAATCAGGTGATGGGTATACAGTACGTCCTTGGCTGTAAAAGTTCTGTAAACTCCGTATGAATCTCTTTATTTCTTTAAAAGCGACAAGATAATAATGATGATAATAATTAATTTGTGTAGAACTCTTCGGGTTGCCCAGATTAAAATAGTTTCACGATAAGAACGTTCGCTCAGTTGACCTCCAGGCATCAGAAAGAAGATTCACCTTGATCTTTACTTTATAGTTAAATTCCTAAAGTGTAGTGAAGACTCATTTCACTTCACATATAAACTAATGTTTAGCTGCATCTTATATCTTATCTGGCTCCAGGTTACGTTGGTTTAATTGGTTAATTGAATTCTTGTTCTAAACTACAGGATGCCATGTGATGCATTCAACAAAAACTCAAATGTATATTTATATATTATTGTGTTTTATTGGTTGGCATAGAAACCAACGCAGGAGCCGAACTCCTCGACTGTGTGTAGTCAAATTATAGTTCATGGTTCTTAACCCTGTCGTGTCTCAGATACGTGGTGTCCCTCTCCGGTGCGTTAGCCGTAGTCAACTCCGTGCCGTGCTTTGCTCTCGACGGTCAGTGGATGCTGAACGCTCTGCTGGAGGCCACGCTGGTTACCGTGGTAACAGATCGTCAAAAGCGCGAGCTGATCGGCTTCTTCCTGCTGCTGGCAGGCAGCGCCCTACTGGCGGCCAACGTGGCGCTGGGCCTGTGGATGGTCACGGCGCGGTAGGCGCAACGGTTAGCTGTCTAAAAAAAAAATGGAATGTGTGCATCCCTGCGTGGACAGAGATGTCCTCTGAGGACGTGCTCGAGATGTGCAGACCATTAAACTGTGAACTTACAGGGAACAGACTGCGTTGCCGAACAATACTGTCAAACTTCTGGAGACTGTTGAGCAGAACATCGCTCTGCCAGGAAAAACCATAAACGACTCACTTCCTCCACATCGTTTCCGCCATAAACACAAAAGCACATATACAAATAAACAAAGCGCTTGCTGCAAAGCACCGTCCTGTGTGACTGTTTACAGAGACTGCACAGTCTTTACAAATTTAAATATCTTTACTGTTTTGAAAATTGAGAGAAAACCATCCTTTTAAGGGTTTGACTCTTGAACGCCACATTTCCCTGCTGAACGACAGTGTTTGTTTTGGTCTAAACTAAGTTGAACCTTAGTTTTAAAAGCCTTCATTTTATTGGCTAATGCATGGCAATACTTTGATTTACTGCCACATATCAGAAGAAAGAACGGCCTCTTCATGAGTGTGAACATCAGGTCATGATTTCACGAAAGCTGACTTCCAGAAGATCCAACAAATGTATTTGAAATGAAACATGAGCTCAGTTCAGTGTCTTTCTCTTCCTCGACATTGTCGCCGAAAGCGACTGAACTTTATCCTCCCAAAGTTGAATTTTTACTCTCGGCCTCTCACTGTTTGTAAAAGTTGATTGTGAAAGCTGTGGAATAAAAACTGGTTTTATTTAAGAGCTCTCTTCTTTTTTTTTTTTTTTTTAGAGTCGTGAGAAATCATTCCCAGTTTCTTACTTTTCTATTTTTGTGTTGACTTTTCTGTGAACCCCTCGGGTGTTTTCTGTTTGGACTCAATGACGATCATGCATCATATAAAGATAATTTGGTGTTATAATAATATAACTGCTCTCGTTAGAGGGAGTGAGAGGTTACGATTCCATCCATCGATCTGTTTGGGGTCAGTCCAGGCTGGAATGCAACCAAACATGTTGTGGGCGAGAGCAAGAATTAAAATCAAGTGATGAATGTCAAAGCAAATTTTCATGTAGTTTTGTTTTTGCATAACTGGAATCCAGTGAGTGAACATTTTTTCCTGGAAGAAAAGTTGAGCAACTTTTCCAGTAAGTAAGGAATAAAATACTTAGAATCCATTTTATGCAGCTTCGAGCAGATAAAGTTGTTGAATAACGGGGGTTGCACGTCTCTGGCGTTTGTTCTCTAACTCGCAGGTTCCTGCTGCTCACTAAAACCCTTCTTCGCCTCTTTGTCTTCCTTCAGACGGAGCAACAAGTTGTAGCTTCAGCTCCCGGCCGCAGTGTTGCTTCAGTCTTTTCCAGGGAGTCGTGCAGTGATTATGTTTTTCCCGAGTGTGTCGGCGATGGAGGCGACACATTGTAATTTTGAAGGGTGTTTCCCACAAACATATAAATACTGAACGGCCCCCAGCTTAACCACAGAGGTGTGTTTAGCAGAGATGAGCAGACACCTCTGTCAGCAGATTCAAAATTGTTGCTTTATTTGTCTTTTGGAGACTTAAGCGATTAGAGAAGTTACGTGGGAGGTTCAGAACATGTTTCACGCAGGAGTCGGCCTCTTTCTCCTCTTCACGTGTCTGCGTTCACATAAGGCTGATTTTCCTTCCCCCCGCAATCAGCTCTAAAAAGATGGCTAATGTGTTCTAGCGTGTGTGTTTCTGCTGCTTATCTCGCGCTGATGACAGCCTGCAGGGATGTTTGTATAAACAGACATGGGAGGATGATGATGATGATGAAGAGGAGGAGGAGGAGGAGGAGGACAGGAGGAGGAGGACAGGAGGCATGTTCTGTCTGGTTTGTCCGAGCCATGTGCCCTGGATTTGACTCAACAGAAAAAACACTAATGTTCGCACGCTGATTTATAACCTGTGTTATAAATGAATAGTCTGACCTGAAATTCTCTAAGTGCAGTTTATTAATGAAGTTAATCTTTTTTAAGTTTTAAATTGAATTTCACAGGACTATGACCAGACGTCAAATGATGAAGCGTTGGGTCCAAAACATTTAAGTGTATCAATAAATAATGTGCGTTACCATAGCATAAATAAATCATCCAACTTTAATTGATGGATTTAAAAGCTGGTGGAGCCCAACCCGGCAATCTGTTGCCACGGCGCTGTGCGTTAAGAGTGCAAACGAGAAGCGCAGACAAAGCGAGAAGTTCCGGTCGAGATTTCAAACAATGAGAATTAAAATTAAAACAGGACACAAATGATCGTGAGTCAGAAATGTTGAACAATAGCATCGTGGTCAGGGAGTTTGGCTTGATGAATGGGTGTTTGCAGCAGCACAGGAAGACGAGTCTATATAGGGACTGTGTCAGCACCGACCCAAAACCTCCAGGAGCACGAGGAGGAGGAGGAGGAGGACCAATCAGGAGCTGCGGCCTTTTTATCATCAGTACCTCTGTCTCCTGAAATTACTGATGCTCTGAAACACTGATGTGTTTTTACAGCGTCACCGTCATCATCGGATTAATCGATTGTAATGTGTGTGAGTGTGTGTGTGTGTGAGTGTGTGTGTGTGTGTGTGTGAGTGTGTGTGTTTGGTGTGTGAGAGAGAGAGAGAGAGTGAGTAAGTGATTCTAATTTGATTCTGGTCTACTGACTGTCTGATCTGACTGTCTCGAGCAGAGCACCCTGCTGTTTTGAACATGAGATTAAACACACACTTCACACGTGCACACACTTCACATGTACACACACACACACACACACACACACACAGATAATGTTCTGGTTTCAGCCTGATTTTAATAAATGATTTCTGCTCTCCACTGGGATGCCTGGTCCCTGGAGGGAGGGAGAGTGGAGAGGAGAGGAGGAGTAATGGGGGAGAGGAGGAGTGGTGAGGGAGGGACGGACAGTTTGAAGAGCTGGGGTGAAGTTAGAGTCCTGCAGATTCTCAGATAGCAGCAGGCAACGAGACGCAGATAGAGAAAGTGAATAAAATATACAAATATTTTAAAATCAGGAATATGCTCTAAAATCCTGGATTCGAATTTCTCCATTCATTCATTTATTTTTTCAGATTTCTCCACTTTTTGTTGTGTTTTTTCAGCTGCAAGAGATTTTTTTTTAGTGTGTGTCTGTCTGTGTGTGTCTGTGTGTGTGTGGTAAAAGTAAGTCATGGAGTTGGAGCATTTAGGTGGCGGTGGAGTTAAACCCGAGAGGGGCAACACTCGTCTCTTCAAGATAGCCCTGGCCATGTGTGTGTGTCTCTGTGCTGTCCTGCTGCTCGCACTCATACTGGGTAAGTCCATAAACACACACACACACACATACACATACATACACACACACACACACTTTTCGTCATGCTGCATTATAATTTGCAAGGACTTCCTCAGAAATGTATTGCACAGTGCACGTTCAGATTATAGTTCACGCTGACTGTAAATTACACACACCAGTGCTCTAGCTGGGAGCAAAGGTTGGCGGGTAACTTGTGTCAAACTATTTTTGGTCCATATAAGGTTTCATATATACGCCCCCACACGCTCATGCACGACCTCTGAGGCTCCATAACGCTCTGTGGGAGTTAAAGTGGAAGCTGGGAAAAGAGGAAAGAATGTGTGTGTTGACAATTTGTGGGTATTGTCTCCTGCAGAATGTGAAATTAATTAGCAGGAACTCTGTGGGCAGAGACGTGGTGGGTTAGGGTGTGTATGTGTTTATTTATTCATAAAGGCCAGTGCACATTGATTTACACTGGTAACGTTCAAATAACATGAATATACTTTTGCCGGGGAAGTTAAACCAGTGATTTGCAGCAGTAGTGCCGATAAAAACTGAAGATAAGAGAGAAAACTTATAGCAAAGGCCACAAAAAGCTTTATGTAAAGAAAAAGAACACAAGAAATTACACAATTTAACATCTATAATTATATTTATGTTTGTTTAAAAGAGCCAGTTTGTCCTGGTAGTGTAATTTATCTGCATGTTAATGTCATAACGCAGGGACTTGTGGAAACTTCCCTTATTTTTCAATGCTCGGTAAAAAAAAAACAAAAGCAAAAATCTTAAAATTCTCTGTATTGACTAGTTTGTGAAGCATGAAAACGATGGAGCGGTTTGATGCGGCACTGGTGTTTAACACTGGACTGATAAATTCAGAGATCGTCTGAGCAGCAAACGACTGAGTGGATTTCCACGAAAGCTGGTGGAAGGATGTGGTTCCATTAGGGAAGAAACCATTTTGGTGCAGATCTGGATCAGGGGGCGGATGCAGGAATTATTTTTTCACTCATCTGTTAATGTTTCAACATTAAAACAACTAGGGAATGTTTAAGAGACTGGATTTACGACACAAGTTCACACAAAAGACAGTTTCCCTGAAATTTCAATTTTCTCCATTCGATAAAACATTAGATAAATCTCCTAAATGCTCTGATTCATCTCCTTGAGTTGAGTTGCAGGAGAAGATTGACACCAGTCTTACTCTGGAGGTGTAAGTTATAAATACACACCCTGGAAAACAGGGGAAAAACTGCAGATGGTCCAAAGTTTAAAATACTGTTTCACTTTTAAACAAACTGTTCTATAAATATCACGTGTTCAGGTTATTGAGCTTCAGAGGTTTTCTTTTTTAACGTAGCATCTCCTGGCTCTAAAGCTTCAAATTGAACATATAGCTCAACCTCTTGAGTCGTACGTGGTTGTGAGGAAGGTCGAGGTTGGGAGGGGTCCGTGTGTGAAAGCAGAGATTTTTTTTTTTGTTATTGAGGGTTAACATTCTTGTGGCGGCATTGAAGTGTAATTATGTCATGCGCCTATATGTATGTAGCGCCACACACCCACTCCGACGGAAACACTCCAACCAAACCGTGCGATTGACCGGACACAGGAATGCCAAGTGGTTGCTTTGGTTTTATTTTTTAAATTAATATTTGTTTTTAATGAGTTCAGAGCTTCTGTTTAA